TCTTCTCTAGAGGTCAAATTGTGGATGCCTCCCACACATCGTCTATTTTGATGTTTCTTGTGTAAATTTCCGAGTTAGAGTGTAGTTAAAGGGGATTGGGGGTGCATTTTGGGATGTGGACTTGCATTTTGAGATTTTATAACCGAAAGAGGGCTTCTTGCAACTTTGGAATATCTAGACGTGCTCTAATGAACTAGTAAAAGGTATAAGGAAGTATCCTAGTGCAATCTTGCTTATTTCTCCTCTCTACCCCCAACTCATGTGTACATTAGTATGATCGGTAATTCTTGAAAGTCGCTCACTTGTCTTGCTTGTGATTTATATCCCGGTGAGTTGACTTGGGCAATAAAAACATTGGTTTTGGTGTGTATTGATCACCTTGATGATGATGATTTGTTATGAAAATTTTGGCATGGTTTGTGTGAGTTGTGGGTTAAGCTCAAGGGAAACCCTCACGAGATAAAAAATCGTCCTCTTAGGCGACTTAGGGGTTCAAATTGCTTTTCACTTGTGCTAAAAGTGTTTATGGTTCTTGCCATGCGGATTTGTGTTTGTGTTTTCTCCTTAAGTATCTTTTCTTGGTTTGATCATTAGCAAGTAATATTCCTTCTTGATTTGACATGTTTGTTTTGCTCGAGGACTAGCAAAAGCTTAGCTTGGGGGGATTTGATAACTTGTTATTTGATACGATTTCAGAGTGATTTCGAACCTTGTTTACTTGGTATATTGGCATTTTGGTTCACTTTTACTCTATTTTTGTTCAACTTTTGTGTATCCCTTGCTTCACGGGTTGTTAGTGTTTTTGTTAGGTTTTTAGGTTCAAAGGCGACCATTTGAGGCATTTGGATGATAAACCGAGGTTAGAAGCCGAAAAAATGGAGCAAAACCGAAGAAAAGTGAAGATAAAGGCCTTAGAGAGTCTGCACGGACGTGCAAAGTATGGCACGTCTGTGCAGAAGTGTTCCAGCACGACCAGAAGCTACTGCCTACTGTTTTCAAGGCCTGCACGTCCGTGCAGAACTCAGCACGCCCGTGCAGGTTATTCAGCACGTCCGTGCATGATCCTGCACGTCCGTGCAGGTTGCTCAGCCAAAACTGATCCTTCTGCCTCCCAGGTGCACGCCCGTGCCAATATTGGCACGTCCGTGCAGGATGCCCTGACTAAAACAGTACCTTATGCCTCCCAGGTGCACGCCCGTGCCAATCTCAGCACGTCCGTGCAGGTATAGCTGCACGTCCGTGCCAACCTCAGCACTTCCGTGCTGACCTGTAGTCGTGCCCGACTCTTGTTTTCTCCGTCCTTTTTATTTGGGGGTCTTTATAAATAACCTGGGAAGCTCATTTGTACGGGGGGGGGGGGGCGAAGTTTTTAGTGCCTCCTCTTAGTTTGCAATTGTAGAAACACAAATATTCTCAAATCATTAGCTAGATTATAATTATTAGCTTGGAAATTTGATTCTCAATCATTGTAGAAGACAAGTCCCACCATTGATATTCAAGTTGAAGCTTCTAGTAACATTTTCTCACTCTTCTCTTCCATTTTAATTGCTTTGATTGTTAATCATCTTGCTTAATTCTTGTATGCTTAGATTGTTATTTAGCTTAATCCTTGGTTAATTCTTGTTCATGAGTTACTTGAAATCTTTAATTGCTTTAATCTCCATGGATTGTGAGTAGTCTAATTTTCTAGGGTTTGGGTAAAACCCTCAATGTAGTCACTAGTTACTTGTTGCATGCGTTAATTTGGTAATTGTTAGGTGTTAATTAGTTGAGCTTAAGTGGTTTAATTGCTTAGTTCTTGTATATGGCCATTGCTAGAACTATTATCTAAACTTTCTCAACGAAGGATCGAGAGATGAACTTGAGTTATCTCCCTTATGCTTAATTGACTTGAAATACCATGAGAATAGGAATTTCCAGTCAAGGGAATGTTTTTGTCATCGTGATTATGCTTTAATACTTGTTTTATGCTTTGTAACCACGAGAGTAGGTTGTATTCATAATTCGAGTAATCCCTCTAGCTTGAGAGAGTAGTTGGGTGCTTCAGATGACTTCCCCTATATCATCCCCTAATTACCATTGTTTTCTACTTGCTAATTGTGATTTGTGACGAAATTGAGTGGTATATCCCAAGCCCTAGAACTCTCTAAATATAGTTAATCTCCCCCTAGTTCTAGTTGACTTGAACTAGCACTTGTTACATAAAACCAAACCAATTTCGACCTCATTTAGCTTATTTATGCGGTAGTATTTCGGTGGTTGATTCAACGCCTCTCTTGGGTTCGACCCTTTCTTACCCTTGCTATTAGCTAGTGAGACCAAGATAGGACTTTATCTTTGGTAGGCTCGACGACGGCCTATCATGTATCCATCCTATTTGTCTTTAAACGACCAATTTAATGGTTTGCAACTTGCACCGATTTCATTAAATCAAGCTTACCACGAGCATTTATGACAACATATAATATTCATAAATGGTTCTAAACGGCATTATATGAACCTGAGATGTATCCCCTAAAATCTCAATACTTTGCGACATGGGCTCCGAAACTTCCAAAATTTCTCAAAAAGCGTGGACATTAACCTTTAATTTTTGAAAAATTTGACTTTTTTTTCGCTGAGAATAAAAATTGCCGAAATGTTTATCATGGTCCTTAATATCCTCCGGGAGTCCAATTGGGTGGAACCATCCAATTTGCCTTTAAATGGCCAATTTACCGGTTTACAACTTGTACCGATGTACCGGTTTACAACGGCCAATTTAATGAACTTGCACTGAACCCGACTTGAACCGAAATTGACCCAAACCCGTTTTAACCCGTCAAAACCCGAATTTAACCCGACTCGAATTTAACTCGACTCGTTCCTAAACTGACTCGAATTTAACTCAACTTGTTACAAACCCGACCCAAAATCAACCCGGCTTGTTATTAACTTGACCTAAATTAAACCGAATATAACCTGACTTGGAAGTGACCCGACCTGATTGTAACCTGCAAATTATTGACTTGAACATAACTCGACTTGAATCCGAGAATGACCCAACTTGGAAATGACACCACCTCATTATAACCAGCAAATTATTGACTTGAACCGAACCCGACTTGAACCTGAGAATGACCCGACTTGAAAATGACCCGACCTGATTATAATATGCAAATTATTGACTTGAACCGAACGCGACTCAAACCCGATAATAACCCGACCTGATTCTAACCCGCAAATTATTGACTTGAACCGAACCCGACTCGATCTGAGAATTACCCTAACCCGTTTTAACCCGTGAAAACTAGAATTAAACCCGACCTATTATTCACCTGACCCGAATGTAACCCAACCTGTTATTAACCCGACCTAAACCCAATCCAAACCCGATAAGAAGTAGGACCCGACGTGACCCGACTCAAGCATGACCCAACCCAAACCCGACCCGCATAGGTTATGGAATTAATCCGAATTGACCTGACCCGAGTTGACTCGACCCACTCTTACCTGACCCAAATTCAACCCGTTTACCCGAGTTGACAGCTCTAATTAAAACTCATGGCAAGGATTGTAATCTTTCCACGTGTTGCCAATCTTGCCACGTGTAGCCATGTCACCTATATTAATTACATATGTTTGCTCACAAAAATTTATTATTTGTTAGTATTAATATATGAACTCATAAGCCGTAACCTTCATATTAATTAAAATTGAACTTTGATCCAATGACACATCTTATATGATAATAAAGTTGTATTATAAAAACAGTTATTTATGTTCATAATTAAATTCTAAAATTATGATTGTGAACTTATGTGTGGATATTTTAACAATAATATGATTACAAATTTATTTCGTTTCTTTCAGTTACTCAACAATAATGCATATAGGTGTTAATTAAAATATGTAACTCAAAAATGCATAACAATTTTACATGTTTTTTTCTTTTTACCACAAAATATAATTAATCAAAGGAATTTATTAATTATGACAGTAAAATCCCTTAAACAGTTACAACAAAATGATACAATATAACATTTAGATTACTTTATGCTAAATAATTAATTTTGATGTACAAATACATTTACAAAATTTAACAAATGATATTATTTTTATAAACCATCAATATATTTCACTTTATTTTGTTGTACTTTTTAATATACAAGCAATGACTCGGGGCATCATCCGACGTCCGGGCCAAAAACTAGTTTATTTACATAAATGTCAAGATTTTTTTTTTTTAAAATATTAAAAGGAACTCCTAATTCTTAAATGATCAGTATTAAAGAGTAGCCCAACTGGATATATATACAAGTATACAAGATATGGGGAGAGAAGAGGAATAACAAATTCTCTCCTTTAAGTACAATTATTATACAAGTATTAATTTTTTAATTTGAATCATGAAATTTGGCTAGAGGATATGGTAACATATTATTCTAAACTTAGAATCCAATCAAAAGTTTATTTTTATGTTAACTTACGCCAATATCCAAGAGTTGGGGTTACGCAAGCCATGGTGACCTTCGTGCCTGGAATTTATTCTTACTCGGAAGTGAATGGGAGAAAAAAAGGAAAATCATTTAGTCATAAAATCACTTCGGGATTTTATCCTAAAATGATTTAAACTTATTAATATCGAGCAATATGGAAACTTGTTAATAAATTAACAAACTTATTTCGATGTAGTATTTTTACCATGTATCATCTACCAAATAGGCCGTTAAAACCCTTCTCAAAGGGTTGCTAAGATGAGATATCATATTGATTTATTCATAAAATCCATCATTAATTAACAAGGTTTCATCAAAAGTCCAATCAAATAAAATCTAAAGATTTGACGCCTTAAATTGAAAGACCAATATTGGAACTTCCAACACTTGCCAACTTTATCCTTTGTTTGTTAGTCATGTGAAAGAGATGGATGGTTGAGAATTTGAGATGCAATAATAAAAATTTAAACCGAAATTTCCAAATTTATAAATACTGTCAAAAGGAAAGTTCACAGAAACTCCATTGCCAAAGAGATGATGATATTCCCATTAACCAATTGCCAATACATTTCATGATGCTTACGTTTTAACCAATAAAAATTCCAAAGTCATCTGTCCCACTAAATGCTGCTGCACCTTCCTAGAAACCTGTTAATTCTGTACTCTTCATATTCAACCTGTACGTACACAGTTACAACCAAAGCTATATATAATAATCTCTGAAAAAGTCATTGTTTTAAGTATTCCTATTTCTCCAAATTCAAATATTGCTGTATTTGCTCCAAGAGAATGGAAAACTGTAAGAATGGATCTAAGGATGTCACTGAGTATGAGGATCTCTTACCAGTGATGGCTGACAAGCTTGATGTCGAGGCGTTTGTATCGGAGTTGTGTGGAGGGTTTAGGCTGTTGGCAGACCCGGAGAAAAGGATGATCACGTCTGACAGCTTGAGGAGGAACTCGGCGCTTCTTGGAATGGGGGAGATGAGTAGGGAGGATGCAGAAGCCATGGTCAGAGAAGGCGATCTTGATAGGGATGGAATGCTCAACGAGAAAGAATTTTGCATTCTGATGGTAAGGCTAAGCCCTGGGATGATGGAAGACGCAGAAATGTGGCTTGACAAAGCACTTGAAGAGGAGCTTCGATCACCCTCAGCTTAGATTAGTGACCTCAGATCAGTTTTATGTAGGTAACATTGTATTACATGCATGAATAACATTTTGTGAATGAATTATCTATTTGTAGTTTACAAATTTTCATCCAAAGATAATCTCAGAATCAACATTGCTTTTGTTGGCTGTTGAGTATTTTATGGTAGAAGTTTGCGCAAAAATTGTTGCGAATTGCAAATGGTGGCATTGAGTATAACAGTATCCGGTAAGGCGAAATCTAATATATTTGACGTAGAAAAAAAAAAAACCATGATATTTCACATAAATATTTGCCAAAGCCTTGAAGTTTCGCAGAGAAATAGACCAAATCCATTAATGATTCACAAAGATGTAGACTAAAGTCATTGATGTTTCAATCCACAGAAGATATATTACAGGATTCTAAACGAGAGCATAACAGTCGACAAGTGCGCTTCAAAATTCTAAATTCCTCGAACTAAATACATCTCAAGTTCTTAGAGAACAATAACCTAGTACTTCCACTGTTCCACATCCTACATGATGAAGTGCTTGAAGCTTCAAGTTCTTGACCTCCGAACTGGTGAACGGCTGTGATAAGAATACAAAGATGATCAGTAAACCATTCATCTTGTTAAAAACTTGGTTAACAATCAAAAGACAATTCACCTTGATAAAAACTTGTGAACAATTAGGCACTTCACATTAATAAAAACTTGAGTAAACCGTGAAAGACCTACCTGCGGTACCGAATATAATCAGGACTACGACGCCTCTCATAAGCTGGACCATCATATCGATCATAAACAGGGCTACGAGGTCGACCATAGTCAGGACTTGGCCTACTGCGACGAAAATGTGGACTTGGGGAGCGCTGCAGAGGGCTCCGGCCATAACCTCTTGGACTGCGAAGCCTGTCATCTCTCTCATCATCATCGCGGAGGGCATATTCAACTGAGATTACCCTGTCCAACAGCTTGCTGCAAAGTTGACGATTAAGCATGATATTGATGGCTAGTACAGTAGTACAAATCGGATGATCAACTTAAGTAAAAAGAAATCTTAATAACCTCATGTTGGTGTGCTCAAGAGCCTTAGTAGCATCTTCCTGAATTTCAAACTGCACAAATGCAAAGTTCCGCCGAATTCGGACGCTCAAAATCTTCCCATAAGGTTCAAAGTGTCTCTCTAGATCCCGATCACGTGTTCTTACTGGATCAAAGTTTATGACAAATAAGGTCTTAGTGACTCTTCCTCCCTTGGATCCATCACGGGCCTTACCCCTTTCACCCTGCAGCAATAAATTGCAAGCCACATCATAAACATCCCTATACTACTACAAGGAAATCAATTCACATCCCCCATTATTGGAGTATCTACTCTATCTAGTTAAATGGAGAACAGGCAAAGTTTTTGTCCAGCAGAAAAAAAGAGCATCTGTCAAAAGAGTAGAACAAAAAATAGGGAAATTTCAGGAACATACGAGACAGAAATGACATAGTATACCAAATCAATAGAGAGTAAGATACTCAGATTTGCAATACCAAATTACTTTTCTGAGGTCAATAATAATAGTTACTAAAAAAAGGTACTTCAACAAGGGAAATGTGCATGCAAAACAATAACATACCTTGGCCCACTCCACTGACAACCTGCGCTTGTCACGGCCGAACGGAACATTGTCAAGAGCACGAATGGCATCATCCGCATCGCGTTCATTATCGAAGTAAACAAAAGCAAACCCTGCATAAAGAAAAAATAGTAAGCAGAAGAGCTAACAAGCTGTTGGTTGGCACTACAGCTATGACATAGGAGTTACTTCAGCCAAATGATGATTTTTTTGCCAGGCAGTAACATAAGAAAATACAACACCTGAACAAATGTGTAGGTCTGATGCACTTAAGGATGTAGAAGCGTGCAGGATGACTAAATCAAGGTTGGCATATGGTTGGCAATATAAAAATCTAAATCCAAAGTTTCAGACTGTCATTGCAAAGCATTCTTCTCCAATTCATACAGCACGATTTCAGGATAAGAAGCATGACAAGACATAAATCATTGAGCCTGGAATGATGAAATGTGGTGTGCATGGCATGATTTGACTGAGCCAAGGATGATCATTCTTGTAAAAAAGATAACTCAAAGCAGTGTAGAGTGAAGGATGTATGATCAGGTTGAAGAAAATGCAGTACGTTTCCATCTGATTTGTGGAAAGCACACAAGCACGAAAGCTTCCTTTCCATTAGAAGGAATTTGTGCAGTGTTGTAGAATCCAGATGGAAGCTCAGATTCCTGCGTCAAAAGAAACACTTAATATGGAGTATATCTCCAAACAAACTGTTTATTTGCGGCTGACATCAATCCTGCCCCAGTGGAAGACTGAACATTTACACCATAATATAATATTGTAATCTATTCAGCCATACTCAAGAGACAAAGGATAGATGTAACTATGCCAGTATTTCAAGTAAAGGATGCTGTTATTATTTATATGATTATATTGATAGAAAAAGGTCAATATAATGCTATACTACTACAGTTCAGAATAGTAAAAACATTATCATAATTAGGTCTAAGTTTAGTATGCAAGCCTAATGGTCCAGACACCAAAGGAACTACGCCAGCTACATATACACTCTCTCATAATAAATTATGAAGCTAAGATGAGAATTCAAAGAGTAAATTCCCATGTAGGGCCACATTCTAGCATAATTCACCCTATATACCAAAATAAAGCTCCAAGCATCAATAAAAAGAGCCAGATAATCAACAACTATGAGCAAAAGAAACTGGAACTTGAATAGCCAATGACAAATATGATGGCTAGACTTTACATATGACACATATTATGCTCACATGTTTTACTAGAAGTCTAGAAGTACTGGCCAAATTTTCACAAATGCACGGAAACAAGTGTGAAATTTAAATAATTAACCTATCGTACACTAAGTTACCCTAACTCTCCATTGGTAAACATCATATTCATAAACTAGGTTGCTCCAACCCCTGTAAGTCATCACAGACTCTGAAGTACTTGTGCTGAAAATTTGACACTGCTATAGGCAGAAAATACATGCCAATATGCCAGAGTGCCACACTTCAAAAACTTCAGCTAGCCATACTCTAATTATGCTCATAAATAGGAGTCAGATAATGATTTGACAAGAATGAACAAACACATGAGCATGTCCTGATAACCTCGTGACTGCATCCACTCTTTAAAGTATAATCCCAGGGCCTAAATCTTGAGCCATGGTGTTTCAAACACGTGGATATGTATTCGTAAATGATACTACTACACTTCATAAAAGTACCAATAACTACAAGTAAAAATGAACTCTAAGCAGCAATTATAAAATTCATTGGCGACATTGCCAACATGCGAATGATTCAGTGAAACTACTGAAAATTCTACCACAGTAAGCATATTTGTATGCGTGATAGCAATCTCAGGACTAAAACCAAAATACTAGATCTAATAGACCACTTTCACCAGCAGTCACGAAAACCTCGACTCGAACATTCTAATGTAGCACACAACACAAACATTAAACACCAGCAGGTCAAGATGAAAGCTTAAACTAAGCTCAAATTAAAATGGTCTAATTTCAGAAAAACAGCAATAATTTATCAAATAAAAAGCTACATTACTCCATACATTTCCGTTTCTCAGGATTGAAAGTTTGAAACCAAAATTAAACGTGAATTCAACAAACTAAGTCACAAATAAAATTTAAAACTAGTAGAAGGAATTTCGGAGAAAAAATAAAGGGAAAATTGACCCAAAAAAAAAGGTGAAATGAAAATTACCAGATTTCATATCAACGCGTTCAACTCTGCCATACTTGGAGAAAAGTCGCTCAAGATCAGTTTGACGAGTACTGTACTCGAAATTTCCAACGAAAACAGGCCTCATCGTTCGTCGATTGAAATGCTAAAACTGCAGAAATTATCCGCAAAATTGGTTAACTAAACATCGATTAAACTCAAATTACAGTCAAAATCATAGATTTTTCATACTAGCAAACGTTGATTTAGCTTAGCTTGGATAAATTCAATGGAAGATGAATTGAGAGAAAAAACCCTAATTGCAAATAGTTGTTACTCCGTACTCTTGTTTAGGGGAAAAAGAGTTTAAGAAATGTTGGACGAGTGATGACGTTAGTTAAATAGACCTGAGAAAAAAAAGCCCAAATTTCCCACCGACCTGTAATAATTGTTGGATTAAGAGTTTTTTTTTTTTTTTTTTTTTTTAAACAAGAGATTAGGAGTTAATTTGTGACAACAAGTAGGGATGTCGGGGTAGGTCAAGTAGGAGAGCCGCGCCATACCCGCCCCAGTGGGGCGGGGATAGGTCTCGGTTTGGCGGGTGGTGGGGCGGGGATAGGTCTCGGTTTGGCGGGTGGTGGGGCGGGGATGGGTCGGTTTGGCGGGTGGTGGGGCGGGGATGGGGATGAAAACCATACCCGCCATGGTGATGGGGCGGGGTGGATTTTAGGTTGTACCCGCCCCATCCCGCCTCGCCCCACTTCGTACCCGCGCCCATCCCCACCTTATACCCTCATCTATATATCTTTTAAAATAAAATTCTATACTTTTGTACTATTTTATAAAATATTTATGTAAAATATAAAATATTAATTATAATACTTCGTAATACACTTATAATATAAAACAAAAAAAATGTGTAATATTAAGAATGATTTTATATATATATATATATAAAAAATAATCGATATCAATTATGTAGGATTGTGCATTTGAAAGGTGGAGGTTAGGTGGGGATTAGGCGGGTTTTTGGCGGGGATTAGGTGGGGGTGGATATCCAAGTGGGGGGTGGGGCGGGGATGGTTTTGGAATTGTACCCGCCGGGGCGAGGAAGGGGATCAATTTTAGACCTGCCACGGGGATGGGGATGGAGATGGGGATGAAAATGTTAGGTGGGGATGGGGATGGGGATGGGAATACCAACATCCGCCCCGCCCCGCCCCATTGACATCCTCTTTAGATGTGTAAAATGGACTTAGATTTTTATTCATTTGAATTTATGGCATTTTATTTGAAGGAGACGTTAATGTATACTCGTGCTATACGGAACAATGATGATGTAAAATTGTAAAAGGTTATGTTGTGTTATACTTACCTCCATTTTTTTTTTGTTTGACACGTAGTACTTCTAAAGAAGTTTATTATTAGTTAACACGTTTAATTTTTTGGATAAGTTCTATACATTGCTTTTTCTAGTGTATCCCATTTGCTTTATTATTTTTTTTCTCTCCGTTCCTTAATATGTGTTAATGTGTACCTAAATCAAACACATTAACTAAATAGAAATGGAAGAAGTATACATGTAGCAAAAATTAAATTTTGATAGATTTAATATGGGCGTATTTAAGAGTGATGAGCCTACATGATTTAATATGTTTTTAATTAATAACATTTATTATTGCATGAGTTTTGTTAATGATTCTACTCAAAACTTTCCTCCACACTAGGGCCTGTTCTCATAGGCTGAACTCAGTTGAGCTGCATTGAAATGAATATTTTATAAGAGAAGAAAATTATGAGCTAAACTGAACTGAACTAAAATGAATATTTTATAAGAGAAGGAAATTAGGAGCTGAATTGAACGGAAAATAAACATATGAGAACAGGCCCTAGACATAAACACACCCTTAAGCTTGATTTACATGAGTTATTACTGCCTTTGATGGTCAATTGACTCATTTGTGCAACTTATCTTTGCCCTATATTCTCAAATTTCTCATGTATGTTTGTTTCAAAATATATACTACGTATATATCAAAGCAACTATGGAATTGAATACAAAGTATAAAAGGTTTTTTTTTTTTTTTAAATTAAATTTTCAATTCTTTTTAATTCGTTTAATTCTATACTCCAAGACATTTTGAATTCACCTCTTGTGTGAATGACGGGCCAAATGTCTTATTACCCGCAAAATACAATTAGCCGCGAACAAGATAACTATAGTAGTAGATTAGTCTTACTTGAAGTACTTAATTACTTCACTTGTACTATTATGTACTAAATATGTCAAATTATTAAGAATTCAAAAATTATTTAATTGTTATCCCATAGTCGTACCACCGATTAGTACTAGTATATCTGTATATGATAATGAATTAATGATAGTATGATACTCCGCGTATCAAGTTTCTCTGAAGCTGCCTGTTTCGGGTGAAAATAATGGGACCTTGCCGAAGGTCCGCTGAAACGGAGAAGACTGGATTCGGTCCAAGTTATGCTGGGCCGAAGGTTTCCTGCACAGTAAACACACGTAAACTAGCCTCGGGGGTGTTGCCGAGGAAGGCCCCTCCGATGCTAAAGTCAGTACAATGTGTAGAAAGAGAACACTATGCAAGAGAATTAGTTGCTTGAGGCTTTGCTTGAATATATGAGAATATATCAATCTATCAGAATATGTGAATCTGTCAATATATCCCTGAATGTATGAATATTGATGGCTTTTATACCTCTTCATACATGGAGAGGTTGGGCTTTAGCCCAATTGGCTTGCTTTGAGGGCTGACCTTTGACTTTAGCACAATTGAAGAGTTGAACCTTGACCTTGGGCTTTTAATTGGATCATTTAATGCCTAGGCCCAATTGGACTAAATTGGACCCAAACAACTTGCCCCCCAGACCCGATTTGGAAGGATGACGGGTCGGGTTTGATTTAATTCAGAAAATGAGGGAAGTAAATGATTTAATTAATCCAAAAATTTGAATTTAAACCGTAATTAATGAGATAACAATGGTGAAGGCGGATGATTGTGGAAGTTGGACGGATAATGGGCAGTTTAATCACAAGATCGTGTGTTTAACGGTTACTTAGTGGGGTATTTAAGAGAAATTGAAACGCGGACTCCCCGTATCCCATTCCTGGAGATATAAACAGAGGCGCGTCATCTCTCCTCACTTATTCACCAACACAAACCCAGAATTCTCGAGAGAAACCAAGAACCCGCATCAAAACTTCGCAAATTCCCCGAGCATTAAGCTTAGAAACTGAGACTTGCCACTACAAACTCGTAAATCGGCAACTTTCGCTTCAGATTAAGGTAAATTCCTTTGATTTCAGTTTATTTTTCTTCAAATTCGAACTCCTTCCCTTTTTTTCGACTTTTTTCTTCGAAATAATCAATGGCAAGAGGAGTTAGAGGTAGAGCCCTTGCTCCAAGAAGAGCAAGGCCAATTCCCGATCCTAGGAACAGGATTGGGACCTGGAATGGACAAAGGCCAGAGTCTGACCCTGCTGAAGGGATTAGGGCGACTCCAATTTCCTCGGCTCCTCCTCAGAGAACGGAGGGGCCGAGCGCTTCTGGACGGGACGATGAAGTTCCCGCTGTCCTTTGGGATATCCTCCCCGGGTTTTCAGAATGGGAGAATGCCGAAGTAGCTTCGGCCATGATAAAGAACCACCCCTACTCATGGTGGGTGGAGAATGCCGAACAATATCGGTTTGCCGGGCAAATTGAGTTGCATTACGGCATTTTTGAAGCTGATGGGTATTGGTGCCGAATGCCCGCGGCATCCGATAGAATCCATCGTCCACCCCCGGGGTATGTGGGGGTGTACACAAGACAGCTTCAGTACGGGCTGAGGTTCCCTTTGGACGTATTCGTCCGAGACTTGCTGATCCATTACAATATCTCCCTATGTCAGTTAACTCCCACCAGCATCCGAAGGGTGATGACATACTTATGGGTCTGCAAGTTCTTCAAGTATGTGCCGAACCTGCACTGCTTCAAAAAGCTTCATCGGCTAGTGCCAAATATTCAAAGTGGGCACGGAAGCCATGGTTCTGGGTGGTACCGGATTGAGTCCCGACCCCAGTACCTAACCATGTGGCCTAACGACTCTTCAGACAAGGACTGGAGAGGTCAATGGATTTGGGTTAGGGCACCCACAGATCTGGGCCACCCTTGCGTCTTCAGCGCTCCCCGGTACCTTGCTGAGCCTGATCCCGACATGGGAAGTCTAGGTCCCCCCGCAGATAACGGGCCGGATCCGAACCTTGATCAACAACATATCTTCGGCAAGCTGCCGAACCGGGGGGGCAGCGGCCGAATGCAGCATATCCCGGAGACTTGGCTCCCCGATACGCATTATGTTTTCCAAGAGAACATGCTAGCAGCTGTTGGCCTCAGCCGAAAGTTTAAGGATGGTAAGCTTCTTCAGCTGGGGCCGAGGCTTTTTAATTATCTCTTTTTCTTCTCTCACTTCGCTTTTTTATGCTGTGCCAACCTATCTGAACTGAACTTTCCCCTTTTCTTTTTCAGAGCGGGACGAGACCAACGTTGGCATTAACTACGCTCATCTTGGTGTCAACCGAGAACGAGTTGTGACTGATCGGGCACCGTCTATCACTGAACCGAGGCATAGGGAAGTTCATCTAGACTCTTCCCACTTCCAAATTGAGGATGTTGCTCTGTATCAGAGGCAGAAGCCTTGGTGGAAGAAGAGAGACCCCTGGTTTCAGCTGCTGGACGAAGAAGCTGAAGCTGCCCGTACAACCGAAGAGGTTGCACGGGTTCTCGAAGCTTGCGAAGGAGGAGAAGGGTCCTCCAGAGCTGCTGAAGAAGAAGCTGCAGCTAGGGCAGCTGAAGAAGACGAGGCTTTGCTGAAGACCTCGGTGAGCTTTCAGACTTAACTTTGTCTTTCTTCTCTTTTTTTTTTTTTTTTTTTTTTTTTTACTCACATTCTTCCTCCCCCCTGTCTGTTACAGTCTGAAGAGAGTAACAGACACAGAGAAGGGAAAGCCCCTGTTCGTCCCGAAGACCAAATACAAGAAGAGTCTTCAGACTCAGACATGGACGAGCAGCCCCTTCAGAAAAGGCGCCGAAGAATGGCCATTATCGGCCCTCATGACTTTCAGCGGAGGCCGATGACCATCGGCGTTGAAATAAGGGAACCCGAGGAAGGTAATGGATCGCCGAGGGTTCCCCGGCCACCACCCCAATCACCTCAAAAGACCCCTCCACCACCTCCTGGGATGGAGGTGGATCAGAGAACTCTCGAATCTAAGGGAGGGGTCCAAGAAGCAATTCAGGAGAATGCCGCTGAGCACAAAAATAAGGATGCCGTGATGCCCAGTGCTGAGGGTTTCACGGCAGACATTGCAAGAGAGGTTGAGGCTTTCGTCCTCACCCCTGAAGAAGAAGATGTCATAGTAATTGACTCTTCTGAGAAGGATGATGCT